CCTGGCTTCTTTTTAAAGTTTTTAATCTTTCTATTTACTTTGTGTGAATGTGTGGGCACTCATATGGAGGCCAGAGGAACAACTTGCAGAACTCAGTTCTCTTCCTCCACCTTGTGGGGCCCAGGACTCAAAGTCAAGTCAGACTTGTCGACAGGTGCCGTACCCACCATGTTATGTTATTGGCCCAGTTCCCTTTTCTTTTTGTACCATGTTGCTTCAGCCTCCTGAATGCTGAGATTGTTCCCACTGCACCTAACTGTAGTACCTACTTGTCACCTCTTTCTTTCCGTTTGACAAAGGGGTGGAACCTGGGGTCTCACATGAGCTGCACCCTCAGGTCCTGATTCTCTCTCTCTTTCAATATATGTGTTTGTATGTTGTTTTTATGGGAGTACATATGTGTTACACCTCACAAGTGTGGGGGTCAGAGGACAACTTGTAGGAATTGATTCTGTCCTTTTACTGTGTGGGTCTTGGGATCTGCTCAGGACACCAGGCTTGGTACAGGAAGCTCCTTCCCTTATCTCAGCCATTTTGAAGGCTGCCCCAGGCCTGATTCTTTTCAGTCAAATGTTCATGTGGCATAGCTAGGCCGGGATGGAGCTCTGTAGTAGAGCACTCACCTCGCAGGTGTGAGGTCCTGCATCCCATGCCCAGTCCAAGTCCATCAGTCCATCAGTCTGTCCAGGCTGAAACCAGTAAATATGAAGTATACTGAGAGGAAAATGGAGCAGAGATGAACGGGGGCTCTGTTCTTCAATCAGGAGTCATCTGATGCCTGCACAGGCAATCTGAGTAAAGGGTTACAGAGGAGGGACCTAGGCCTGGGGATACAAGCCTGGGGCCTACGTTAACCAGCAGGCTGAGGCAGAAGGATTACAAGTCCAAGAGATAGCTTGGGCAATTTGGTGAGAACCTGCTCAAAGAAAATAAGTAGTACCAGGAGTACCATGTGTAACAATGTGTAGAAACTGGGTTCTTTCCTAGTCCTACAAAACATCATGTAACTGTGAAGGCAAAGGTCCTGGGGGGAATGTGTGGGTCAGGCATGGGGAGGGGAGGGAGCAGCTCGAGCCTTGTTGGCTGTTAGGGATAACTCTGATTTGTGGCTACCATGACCTCTGCACCACAGAGTTCTCCAACCCATGAATCCACCACCTCTCCAGAGCTGCCTTCAGAGACCCAGGAGACCCCAGGCCCTGGCCTGTGCAGGTGATACCCCTCCCTACCCACCCCCCGCATTCCTGCCTACTCTCTGAGTTCACTAGCTCCCTTTTTCCACAGCCCCCTGAGGAAGTCACCCCTGATGCTTGAGGACTTCAAGTTCTTGGCAGTGCTGGGCCGGGGTCATTTTGGGAAGGTGAGGCAGGGGAAGGACTTCTGGGCTCAGAGGTCTTCCTCCAAGTGCCAGGGTGTCCATTAAGGCTCCTGTGCCCACTGTGTTCCAGGTGCTGCTGTCTGAATTCCGCTCTAGTGGGGAGCTCTTTGCCATCAAAGCCTTGAAGAAAGGTGACATAGTAGCCCGAGATGAGGTGGAGAGGTGAGGCCCTATCCTGGCCCTTGAGGATTTCTAGGAAACAGCCCAAGAGTAGGTCACTATTGAGCGTTTCAGTGAGAGGCTCATGGTACTAGAACTTACAACCTTCTTACCTAAGACTTAGAAAGTAGTTACTGCGACTCACTGTGCCCCTTCTCCCCTTCCAGAGTGAATGCTGCTATTGTCTCCCACTCTGCTCATGGGTTAACAGTCTGCCAGAGATCACACAGTAGGCAGGAGGTTCAGGACTAACTGTAGGGATGTGGGACTGCCTCAGTTTTGGGGTCAGGGTCCCAGGTAAGATGCCTCTGTCACCTGTGCTTCCGGATGCTAGGAAAAGTTGGGCCTCCCTTCAGAGCTCAACCTCCTGATCTACCCATCAAATACGCGTGGAAATGCCTTTCACATAGGGTTGTCTGGTGGATCAAGGAAGAAGGTCTATTTAAAGTGTTCTTCACGGTCCTTGACCCTTTAGAGGCATTAGACTGTCCCAAGACTTCCCAGCCACCTTTGTAATAACCAGGAACCTGATCCAAAGTTTAAATGAGTAAGAGGGATTTATTTACTAATCTGGAGAGAAGCTGCCGTGTCTGCCTTAAGGCGCTGTGCGCAGGAGCTTGGTGACGTTTCTGGTTGTGTGCTCCTTTGTGGACTGTGCTTGCGGTCCTCTCACAGAGACTGAAACTTTTCCACCCTGAAGTTCGGACCCGGTTCCTCCACCTGCTTTAGTCCTTACATGGGTTGCTGTCCCTAATCCAGTCCCCAGCACGCACTTGAACTGCTCTGATCAGCCTGTGCCCTCACCTGCTTCCCAAGACAGTGCGTAGATTGTGGGTGTGTAGCAGCCACGGTGCCCAAACTGAGAGGGAATAATCCAGTTGCCCAAAGTTGCACAGTAAAGTAGGTCCTCAACAGACACCTGTTGTGAGTGCCAGAGGGCATGGGCGCAGGTCAGGGAGCAGCAGGGCCCTCTGACTTCTGCCTCCTGCCTAGCTTGATGTGTGAGAAGCGGATTTTGGCGGCCGTGACCAGGGCAGGACATCCCTTCCTGGTGAACCTTTTCGGCTGTTTCCAGACCCCAGAGCACGTGTGCTTTGTGATGGAGTACTCAGCGGGAGGAGACCTGATGCTGCACATCCACAGTGATGTGTTCTCCGAGCCGCGGGCCGTGTGAGTCTTCTTTCCTGCCCATCATTGGAGGCCCCATCCTCCACCCTGCCTCCCACCCTCCTCCCTGCCTCCCGCCCCGCTGACTCCCACAGAGCTTTGGGACCCCAGGGGTTAGGGACTTTGGCGCCGGTGGAGCCAGGCTTGTGTGAACTTGTGCGTCTCTGCAGCTTCTATTCCGCCTGTGTGGTGCTGGGGCTGCAGTTCCTCCATGAACACAAGATTGTCTACAGGTGTGTACATGAGAGCATGTTCTGCCCATAGACTGGACATGCTCAAACTCTGTACAAAGCCCCCACTCCCAATCACCCCTCTTTACATCCCCTGACACCCCCATTCCCCAGGGACCTGAAGTTGGACAATTTGCTCCTGGATACTGAGGGCTACGTCAAGATCGCAGACTTTGGCCTCTGCAAGGAGGGTGAGGGGCTGCAATCCTGGGATGAGAGGAATAGGGGGTGGGCTACCTTCTGATAAGGCCGTACGTAGTGGTCAGGTGACATTTTCTTCTCTCTGGGCTTTGCTTGCAGGCACATGCTCACCCTAAGAGCTTCAGCCCCTCCTCCCTGGGTCACCCTATACTGGTTAGGGGTAGGGCTGACTGTTTGGTGTGTCTCATACTCTACCACCGCCCCCAGCCACTGGTGGCTCACATGGCCTTGCTTTCCACCCCACCCAGGGATGGGCTATGGAGACCGGACCAGCACATTCTGTGGAACCCCAGAGTTCCTGGCGCCCGAAGTGCTGACAGACACATCTTACACACGAGCAGTGGACTGGTGGGGACTGGGCGTGTTGCTCTATGAGATGCTGGTTGGGGAGGTGAGGCCTAGGCTCCTTTTTTTTCCTGTAGAGAACATGCATGTGCCCCGGCATGGGATGGGAATCTGCTCCTGCTATGTTAGCTTTGCCTCTCTGATCTCAGTTTTTGTAACTAAAGCGAGATACTTACCCTCTGTAAGCCAGCTCTGGGGCACCCCCAGGGGTAGGGGTGGGGCCCTTGGGTAGTACTGGATGAGCTGGACTGACTAAAAGTGGGGTCTTATTCAACCTGACTCTCTCTGCCCTCCAGTCTCCGTTCCCTGGGGACGATGAGGAGGAGGTTTTTGACAGTATTGTCAACGATGAGGTTCGTTATCCCCGCTTCCTGTCAGCAGAGGCCATTGGCATAATGAGAAGGGTAAGCATACCCCTACCACAAAGGGCAAGGTAGGCAGAAAAGGGTTCTGAGGCACAGGACTCAGATACACATTGACATGTGCCTCGTCTCACAGCTGCTGCGGAGGAACCCAGAGCGGAGGTTGGGAGCCACTGAGCGGGACGCAGAAGATGTGAAAAAACAGCCCTTTTTCAGGGTGAGCAGACTCCTTCCTCACCCTGTCAGTCACCCCAAGGACCTGGGTGTTTCTCCCCATTCATTCCCACCCCGAATCTAGTTGTTCCATCTCAAGAGTTTTATTGCCCTCCCAAGGCCGCCATGATTCCTCCCAAATGTTACCTCCTTTTGTCTGTACCTCTCATTCCCCCTCTTTACTCCCACTGCTAATCCAGGCCCATGTCATTACAGGGCTAACCTGAGCTACCCCAGACTCCCTTGATCTGAGCTCTAGTCCCTCTGCACCTTGTCTACTTCCTGCTGGTCTCCAGACTTCCCCGCATCCTCCATCATGACTTTCTGTCCCCCTCTCCACAGACGCTGGGCTGGGATGTCCTGCTGGCTCGTCGCCTGCCCCCACCCTTTGTGCCTACACTTTCGGGGCGCACAGACGTCAGCAACTTCGATGAGGAGTTCACTGGGGAGGCGCCCACGCTGAGCCCACCCCGGGATGCCCGACCCCTCACAGCTGCGGAGCAAGCTGCCTTCCGGGATTTCGACTTTGTGGCAGGAGGCTACTAGCCCCAAGCTCCTGCCTTGCCCAAGAGTTCTTGGTTTTAAAAAGGCCTTTGGGGTTTACCCCATACATGCATTTTCAGTCTCTGTGTGCAATCTGGGGTGGGGTGTTCTTGGAGCAGGTGATGGAGGCAGGCAGACAAAGCGGAGACAGAGCTGTGCTAGGGCTCAATTGAATGGTCAAGCTGGGAACATGCATTAGTGGGGATGATTACGGTGTCAAGGGCTGTGTTGGAGAACATTGGGGTAGTGGGCACAGGGTTAGAACAGAGACCAAAATGAGGAGAATGCTTGGTTGCAAGGCAGTGGCAGACACAGGAAGTGGACCCAAAACCTCCTGCGTTTGTGGGGAATCTCTGATCTCAGAACTAAGAATTCAGTGTAGTGCGCATGCTTTTGGAGCTGCTGACCCGAGGATCCCACCTCTGATATTTGGAACATCCCAATGTGTCTGCGCCACCGCGTGGCCAACGTTAGAATTGTACTCGTCTGGGTGGAGCCTCTTTCACCAATGAGCGGTCACAGTGTGTGTTCCCGCCACACAGGACACATCACCCATGTTAGTGTTTGAGGCTCTCTACACCCTTGAGCCCTGCCCAGTGGTTTGGCTTAGCTTCTGGGCACACTCAGAGATGGCTGAAGCCACTGTGCCGGGAGCTACGCAGTGAACTGGCCTCCCAGGCACCCTTGGTTAGGCCCAGCTCTGTTGGGCCATCCTTTGCACCGGCCCTCAGGGGCAGGAGACGAAGCAGTTGACGCAGCACGGCCTGGCGCAGCAGGATGTACACCCACGGGTCCAGGATCTGGTTCCACGACGCGAGGCGCACAGCCAGGAACAGCGGCCTTTGCAGGGAGCTAGAGTTCCAGCCCCCGATAGCCAACATCACCAACACCTGCGAGAAAAGCAGGCATGAGCAGGTGTGAGAGAAGGGGTGGGGCGGGCTATTCAGGGCAAATACTGTGTGGGGAGGAGAGTGACTGAGCAAAGGTCGTCAGTGAGTGCGGAATCTAGCTAGAGAAGACCCGTTTTGCTAGCACACAAGACAAAAGAAAGGTAAAAAAGCTGGGGAGGGCAGGCGGTGGTGGCGCACTCTTTAATCCCAGCACTAGGAGGTAGAAGCAGGCGGATCTCTGTGAGTTCGAGGCCAGCCAGGTCTACAAGAGATAGTTCCAGGACAGGCTTCAAAGCTACAGAGAAACCTTGTTTCGAAAAACCAAAATAAAATTAAAAGCTAGGGAGGAAGAAGGCTAGAAATGAATGAAGCTGAGGGACGAACTAAGAAGCCTGAGTGGATAGGAGTAAGATACAAAGATCCAAAGAGGGCGAAGGTAGAGCCAGGGATAGCAGAGGGATAAGACAGAGGGACAGAAGAAGGGTAAGGCTTTTTGTGTAGACGGGGTGATGAGGGGGCGGAGCCCAGGAGGGGGAAGGAAGGAGTATGGTTGGAGGAGCGGCTGCCCCTCACCAGTAGGGGACTCCAGCAGATGCACGACACCACCATGATGCCCACGAGCTGGCCCACCATCTCCACGTCGTGCGCGCGAACCCTGCGCACCGAGCCGCCGCCCCGGGAGCTACGGAGGGTGGCGGAGGCTGAAGCGATGGATGAGGCAGACGAGGTGGAGGCCAAGTGTGGTCCCCGGGACCCCCAGCGCCGGCGATCTTCGGAGCGCTGGCGATCATCGAAGCCTGTGGTCTCACGGAGACGTCGAGAGCGGCGACGCCTCCAGCGGGCTCGCAGGAGCGCCATGCCGCTGAGCGTATTGCACACGAGTGCCGCAAGGAGCGCCGCCAGGCCAAGGCCGGCGAAGAGGCCAGCAAGCAATGCCTGGCGCCAACCTCCACGAGGTCCAAGACTAATGAAACACCAGGTGCCAGGGTACTGTAGCTCGTAGTGACCTACGTGTGCTAGCGGCAGCAGCGCCACTGCCAAAGCCATGGCGGCCAGCACGGCTAGTGCCAGGCGTGCATGGGCCACTGACATGCGCGCCGCATGAAGCAGCGGCTGCGTGACACCCACGCAGCGCTCCACGGCCATGCCGCAGCCAAGCAAGAGTGGGCACAGGCCGAAGAAGACCATGCAGCCGCCCAAGAAATGACAGGCCCCGCCAGCAGGCGAACGTCCTGCAGCGTACAGGCGAAGCACCAGTGCTCCCGGGATCACATGGCCTGCCAGGTCAATGGCCAGCAGGCTAGCAACGAACAACAGAAAAGTGGCAGCTGAGCGGCGCCGCCGCAGACGACCTGCAGCTTGCGCCAGCAGCGCCAGTGCCAGCACGTTGGACACTGCACCCAGGGTCATGGAGAAGATAGGCAGCGCCGGTGATGTGCCGGAATCGCCTGGGGGCACCGTTGATGTGTTGGGGACCCTGGGTGTTGCACACGCTGTTGCCTCGTCCGCTAGGCTCACGTTAAGCCCACACGGGCTCATATCAGTGGCCAAGAGGGCTAGGTAGATAAGAGGAGGACACAGTGAGGCTAGGGTCCCACCACCACCAGGATCCATGTAACAATGTGGGCTCTGTGCCTAGGGCACCTCCACACGACCCTGGTTGCGCCATCTCAGATCCCTCTTCATCTGTCACTGTCCCATCCCTTGTGCCTGTCCTCACTCTGCCCCTACATCGGTCTACTGCTCCGGGGACTCGACTGATCTGGCAGACATTCTTAGTATCTTTCCTCATCTCCCCTCCTCCCCACCTTGTAGTGCATCATATTCCTGGTTCATGGCTTCATGGAATAGACCCTGACCCCTTTCTGACCCAACTCCAACCTTCACCATGTCTGTCCACTCTCCTCTCCTTTTTTCTAAGTCTCCTTGGCTGTCCCCAGAACTGGTTGTGTAAACTAGGCTGACCTTAAAGAGATTCACCTGCCTGTGAGACCTGTGTCCTGGGATTCAAGACTCACACCACCACGACCAGCTGTTGGTCATCTTTTCTTCCTTGACGTCCCTATCCCAACAGCTCCACTACTATAGCCAGTGGCCATGTCCTTGTCTCCAGGGACACACTCTTGATCTCCAGTTTCATCTCTCCCGGAACAAGCCATCTCTATACTTAAAGACTCATTTCTGGGCTCCAAGGTCACTATGCCCCGTAGCCACATCTCTTGCCTCCACGTTCCTGTTCCCACAGACCCCTCCCTGCTTCCATGGGCCCATCTTCGGTGCTCTTGGACTCCATGGGCCCACCTCTCTAGAGTCCCGTCTTTGTTGCCAGAGTCACACCTCTCTGTCTCCATGGCAATCTCTCAGCAGTCTGGCACTGCCCTATTCAGATGCCCACCCCATACTCCTACTGTGAACCAGCCTCTGGCTTGTTCTTCATTCTCTAGTTGAGAGGGCTAAAGCAGACATGCAGACATAACAGATGGACAGTCAGCCTTGGGCTGAGAGCATGAACACAGTGAGACCAGGATGGCCATAGACCATCATTCAATGCTCTCCTCTTCCCTGCTTACCGACCCTCAAGTCCCGGCTTCTTACCCAGTGCTGCTCAGGATGCAGGATCCCCATGGCCCGGAACTAGGCTCCTGCTGCCAGCGCCAGCTGCTCCCTGGCTCCCGGCAGGCCGCTCCCTCTTCCTGGGGCGGCTCCTCGGCTCCGAGCCGCCTCCACCCGCACCCCACTGGCCTCCAGGGGCTGCTCCACCCCATGCATGTCTGCCCGCTGGGGCTGGGAGCCGTGAGTGGGCGAAACCTCTGCTGCTGGCAATGGTCAGGATCACTTGGGCTCAGTTTCTTCCCGCCAAGGACTGAGGTTCTCTGAATTGGTCTGGTCTCTGTGACCCCCTCCTCCCAGTGAGGCAGAAGCAACCCCCCACACCCTCACCCGGGCCTCTTGCCTGCCTCATTAATAAAGTGGATAAAATCTAAACACTGGAAAATGTGAGCATCGCCTCGGGCAGGCTGGGAGGTCTACACACTCTCATGGGGGTGGGGTGGGGTGCTATCGCCATTGGGTTTAAGCGTTTGGGAACTAGCTGTGTGATGGGAACCAGCAATGTTGTCTGCCCTTAAGCCTTTGAGGTTTTCACAGGGTGGATGTAGGTGAGCAGGACCAGGGCAACAGGGACTCATTCTTGGAGAAAGGGAGGTGGCTAAATGGCTCAGAGGAGTCAAGTTAGTATGGGCATCCTGCTTTAAGGTGGGGTAAGCAATTCATAGGGCACCTGAACCACATCCTGCACCCACAGTTACAGCCTCACTTTACGTCTTAAGAAGCAGAACGTGCAGTCACTGTCCAATCAGTCATGATGGCAAGTAAACACTGGATAGCTCCCACCATTGCTGACTTTAACATCCACTCCCTTGGTACCCCCCAAATACCCCTTGGGACGGATGTTTGCCCACACCTTAGCACAGGGTATAAACTGCACTTTACACTGTAAGTCTGTTACAGTCCTAGGGCACGCCTCCTGGAGACATTCCCCCACAAACCAATGCACATGGGCACCCAGACCTTGCCCTGCCTGAGTCACATAATCACATCTCTAGACACTCTTAAGGCCTAGCTGTTTACCAATTCCTAAACAAGGACACACCGAGACCTATGCACACACTGGACACAGCTACATGACCACACTCAACACCCCACTGCTCCCTGAAACTCAGAGGACCCAACCCTTATCCACTCAACAAAGCCACACATCCCCAGCAGCTCCTATCAGAGACATGCAAGACCCCAGTGCAGGACCTGAGGCATAGTTGAGCGACAGAGCACAGCCTAGCACGTGTGAGGCCGTGACCTCAGTGGTCAGGGATGGCAAGTCACTCTGACAGTGGCCGGCATGTGCATGTAAATGTCTGGTATCCAGTCTGCATCTCCTGCCTGGAGTCAGGCAGCCAGTCCTGCTCAGCCTTCTTGCAGCATCTCCACTGGGCTCACCCCCAAACATTCCTCCTGGGTGCTGGAGAGGGACCTCTGGCCTGGCTTCCCTCACTTTCTCCCTGCTCTCCAGGTCTGGCCAGGGTCCCACCCTACCCTTTCCTTGATCTTCCTAAATCCTAGGATGAAATGGACTGTCAAAACAAGCTTGGCAGGTTTATATCCCTGCGAAGCACTGGGCCATGGATGCCTATGTCCAAAGTACAACCAGCCTCACCCAGGGTGCTGCAGAAGGGCAGCAGGCCTTGCTGGCTCCACAGAGGTGTTAGCTGCAGTCTCCTCATACAGGGAGGCCTTGATGAGTGGGGAACCAGGTCTGAACCTCAAGTAAGCCAGAATCCCTACCATTGCCTGGGAGCTTCATGGCCTGATGGACCCCAGCCAGGGGGAGGGGCTGCAGGCCAGCCAGGGGGAGGGGGCTGTGGGCCAGCCAACTCTTAATTCAATCTGGAATCCAGGAGATAGATTTCAGCTGCAGCATTCTTTCCCTGCCACCCCTTCTACCCCAAAGCCAAACAGTTCCCAGAGAGAGTCTATATCCAAGAGAGTAAGTGGGGTACAGGAGCCCACTGCCTTGCTCACCCCTCCCTCCGGCACTGTCTAAGGAGACGATGAGGAACCAGGGTTCACAGCAGTGTGCACTCAAAGGGGAGGTAACAGGATCCAACTTAGGGGCTCCTCTCAGGGAGCTGCTGAAGGGGGTGGTAGTATTGCCTTTACTAGGAGGGTTGTGCCCCATTTCTGTAATTCTGTTGTCAAGAAAGTAGGGCGAGTCAGACATGGTGGTGCACACCTTTAATCCCAGCACTGGGAGGCAGATGCAGGCGGATCTCTGTGTGTTCAAGGCCAGCCCGGTCTACAGAGTGAGTTCAGGACAGCCAGAGCCACATCATCAGACTCTGTCTTGAAAAACAAAGCAAAAAAGTAAGGTAGGGAAACCTAGAACAGAACTGAGGCTCAGGAGACAGGAAGGGGCAGTTTGCCAGCTGATAGTGGAAAAGTGTTGGGGACAGAGGTGGTTGGTTGCCCAGTGTGCTCGTCCCTCCCCACACGCTTACTCTGCTGAGGTAGGTGGGGAACCCGCCAGGGGGTGGCCGGGGACCCCAACCAGGCTGGGCACCATTGTGATCGGAGTAGGGCCAGGACCACAGGCCACTTCTACCCCATGCCATCCTCAGGCTGCTGGGTTATGTGCCCTAGCTGGATGCTCAGGTCTTGGCTGTGGGACCCCTTCTGGAGGTCTCAGTTAGGTCAAGCCCAGGTTATCTCAAGGTCCAGGTTCAGTTCCAGTCTTAGTAGCGGCCAACCTTGGCATCCCCGATGGCCCCCCAGACATCAAAGACGAATTCGTCTGGGAATGCGAAGTCACCAAGCCGTTCATCCAGAGCCTCTGCCAGTTCATCTGGGTTCCTTTTGTCTTTTCCCAGCTCCACCATGGTGGCAGCTATCAGGGAGGAGAAAGATGGGCACAGATGGCATGAGGGACAGAAGGGTGCAGGCTCAACTCAGCCTGGATGAGACCTGGAAGCCTGCTCCCACCTTCCAGGCATGGGTGCCCCCACTCACCCAGTTCTGTGTCTCTGATCCCCATGTAGCTCTCTAGCAAGTCATCCACCTTCTCAATGGCTTTCTCCTCGAAGGCTGATGGCTGTGGAGGGGATGAGACAGCACAGCAGTGTCAACAGACTGCGGTTAGAGTGAATGTCTACGGTGCTGGGGACAGTACCCGGGGCCTCACACATGCTAGGCAACAGCTCTACCAATGGACTGCACCCCCAGCTATGTTTTACATTTATTTATTTAATGTGTAGGAGTGTTTGCCTGCATGTGTGACTATGTGTGCGCCCGAGGAGGTCAGATGAGGACGCTGAATGCCCTGGAGCTGGAGTTAAGGGCATTTGTGAGCTGCCCAGTATGGATGCTGGGAACTGAACCTGGGTCCTCTTCAAGTGCAGCAGGTGCTCTCAGCTGCTGAGCCGTCTCTCCAGCCCCAACGTTCAGATATTATTGTTCTTATTTTGAGATAAATTCTAAGTTGCCCAAACTGGTTTTGAACACTAAACCCTCAGATCTCAGCTTCCCAGGTATCTAGGATTACAGGTCCCTGTCCACAATGGGCTGGCTTTCACATATTTCCTTTCTGGTGACAAGCTCTTGTGGTTTGCGTTACCCTTGAATGCGAAATCCTCCTGCCTCAGAGACCATGCCTAGATGTGGTTTTTGTCTGCATCACTAAGGTTCTCTCTGACAGGAAGTTACTAGGACTCCTATTTTACAGTAGGAAAACCAAGTCTCACTTGCCCAAGGAAGGCCCCAAAGTGGGGAGGAGGCAAATTTAAGCAGAGGTGTCCAGAGTCCCTCAGGTAATGAGAATGCTGTCACTGGCCCAAGGTGGCTCACTCACCAGATCCTCCACTGTGGCAGGACCCCGGGATCGGAGTCTGAGGGTCCCTCGGCCAGTGCCCAGTTGCAGGCCGGAGGCAGGGTGGCCCCCCGCTGAACGCTGGCTGATCATATCTACGGGAATTGCAGCATAGTTAGTACTGCGCTCAGGCAGCTGAGCTTTACCGCCTCTCACTGTCTCCAGGTTCCGCAGGCTCCTCGGGATAGGGGCTGGATTCCAGGAGACAGGACTTTGCATAAATGGAGAGGGGTAGCGGGGGTCAGGCATAAAAGAAGCTAGAAGAGAATCCAGGACAATCTATTTGAAGGGGTGAGAGCTGGGGAGGGGTGGGTATAACTACTGGGTCCCAGATCAGTCCTATCTACCCATACCAGGGGCGCCTCAGGCCCATTCCTGAGAGTTAGTGAAGCCAAATAGAAATAGCAGCAGGGCATGGGAGTTGTGCAGGGCAGCCAAGCCTCACTTCTCCAGGCTGAGGGGGCTGGACAGTGTTGGGGGCAACTTCCTTCAGGCTGGGCTGCCAGCCAGCACCCAGTTCTAGGGTAGGGTGGGGCAGGCTCCACTTTTCATTGCAGTTTGGGTGCCACCTGCTGGTGGTTCCCAGTACTGCAAACCATATTTTTGACGTGTTCAAGGTCATCCCAGTGGGTGGTCCAAGGTTTGCTCACCAAAGGCTTTCCGAGGCTCTGTGAGTTTGAGGGTGAAGGTGCGGCCTCGGGGAAGTTCCTTGAGGAGCCTGGCAACTTCATAGTGCCGACAGCCCAGCAGGCTCTGCCCGTTGATGGCTTCAATCATGTCACCGACACTGATGAGCTGGATGTGGTCAATCACACTGCCTTCCTTGATGCGCTGTGAAGGGGCAGGTGTCAGCTCTGGAAGCTCCACTGAGGTCCCATTACAGACTCTGACCACTGACTAAGGGTGTGCCACCCACCCGGGCACCTTAATGAAGGCATAGCCGGCCCCGTTGTCGGTGATGGTGAGCCCCAGTGCCTCCTCAGACTTGAATACTTCCACTTCTTTGCGCTGCCCCTTAACGTGGGCAAAGATGAAGTCCTCCAGCCCAATCTGGCCTCCCAGGAGCTTGTCCATATCCACTTTATGGGTGTTGAGGGTGCAGAACATCACCTGCAGGGGTAGGGCAAGAAGCTCGTCCCCTCCTCCCTGGGTCCCCTTCCTAACACTTGGGATAGGAGGGGAGTCCAGAGAAGATACCTACCCCAGGGAACAGTGACACCCAGAGCCAGGGCAAGGTCCACTAGCTCATCAAGTGCTATGAGCAGAACTCAGTGAACACTCAGTAAATGCTGGGGGACGGATGAAGGAGTCCAGATTCCCACCTAGCCTTCCACCTGTCTCCACTTGATGCTCAGTCCACTGCTGCCCTCCCTGTGGCTTCTCTGCTTCTGTCTTGGGGTCGTGTCTCCAGTGAATCACGAAGAAATACAAACTGCTCCTGACTACCAGTTCCCATTGTGCTCTGGGGCACAGGCCTAATGCCTCGTGGAAACCCAGTTACCACCTGTGGTCACCAATCCTCCACAACCTACCAGGCTGCAGACTACTCCAGACCTGAAGGGAAATTAGCATCCACACCCCTACAACCTACTGGGGTACAAACCTCTCAAGGCCTGGTAGGAAACCCACCCCTACATACCTTCTGGGGTACCAGTCTCTCAAGGCCAGACACGAACTAAGAATCCTGTTGCAGCCATGCTTATTAGATTCAGGGGTTGGTTGCTGGTGAGCAGATGGCATCAGCACCTGACCCCCAATTAACAAGAATGCACAGCACACCCAGGCCTGTGGCTTCCTCTCAGGGGACCCTGGCCCCACTGTACCTCAGCAGCTGGTAGTCGGAAGGCCTCAGCAATCTTGCCATACAGCTCCTTGACATTGGTGAAGCCCTCGATGCGGCCTGTGGGACTACCATGGGCCAGCTGGGTGTGGAATACAAGGCGAGGCCGGAGGGCAGCAGGAGGTGGGGGTAAGCCCATCTGGGACTCCCCTGCTCCGCTTCCACCAAGAGGTCCAGGCTCCCCGACTCCCAGTCCGCTCCGGCCTGGCTCCGCCTCTTCATTTTCCACCAGAGGTGGTGCCTTTTTCCGCCGCCCCAGTCCCAGTGGCATGAGCAGCCAGAAGTGGGGGCTCGGCCAGGAGACCTGCAGAAAGGGAACTGGGCTTCATGCTCTGCGTGACAGCCTTGGGTGCCACCATCACCACCACATGGTACCAACACCAGCCAACACTGCCATGATCTGCAGAGCAGATATCCTTAACTGGGCCCTGTGCAGGCTGGGGACGCGGGCCACCACTGGGCCTTAGCCCAGCCCTGACGACATGACTCATGGCTCCTAGGCAAGGGTTCCAGGATACCTCCAGAATATTGCCCCCAGCACCCCCCAGCCCCGTATAAAATTGTGTTGTATTTGCACTGTACAGACTTGGCTAGTACTTGGCCACAGAGCTGCAGCCCCTCCCATACTCAGGAATCAGCTCTAGACTTAAAATCTATGAAAACTCTTGTTCTACTCTATTGTTTAAGGGGTAATAACAAAAAATTCTGTCCATGTTCAGCACAGGTGCAAGGCTCTTCCCAAATCAACCAATCCTACCTTCCTCCCTCTGTGCTGGGGTTGGATCTCGGCCTTGTACATATGTACCCAAGCCACATGCCCAGACTGCTCCTTTTTATTTTCAGACATTTATCTCTTTGCTGCTCAGGATAACCTTGAACCCGTGATCTTCCTGCCTCACCCTCTGGAGTAGCTGGGATGTAGGATATACCAGCACAACCTCCCTGAGTGTGTTCCATCTAGTGGGTTTGATCTGGGCATCCAGAACAGAAGGCTGGCTCTACCTGGATGCTGGGGTGCAGCACAGTGGGGGCCATATGCAGAGGAAGGCCCAGGTCTCTTGCCAGCAGTGGGTACCTATTACAGCCCACACCACCTGCTGTGACCTCACTCAGCCCTCCTTCAAGAACTCCTTAAGGCATCGGCTCTAGCTACACCCACTTAGATGCACGAGCACACACTCTGAGACAGGGTCTCACTCTACACTCTAGGCTGGCCTAGAACCTACAACCTCCTGCCCTCAGCTTCTCAAGAGCTGGAAGATAGACGGATACCACATCGGTTTCATTGTTCTACCAGCTGCACTCATTAAAGCTATGTACAAAAACTTCCTAGCCTTTGGCTGGGGAGATGGCTCAGTCAGCAAAGTGCTTCTGAGGACTGGAGTTGGAGCCTTAGGATTTACATAAAAACCAGATGAGCTGGCGATGTGCTTGAGTCCCAGGCCAGTGAGAGACCCTGTCTCAAATATCAAGGTGGGAGACTGGCGAGATGGCGTGGTGGGCAAAAGCAGGGGCCATCAGGCCTGCAGAGCTGAGTTTGGTACCTGGACCCACATGGTAGGTGTGCACTGTGACATGTGCACCTACACACATACATATGCACACACACAAAAATAAACAAATGCAATAACATGAAACACCCCAGTGGACAGCTCCTGAGGAATGACACCTGAGGCTGGCACACACATTTGCACGGGCAGACGTGTGACACACAGGAAACAAAACCCTCGAGTCTCTCCCTCAAAGCACACAGCGCATGGCCCCTGCCAAGTCCCTTGGGACAGGGCAGGCTGATGAGTTCTAACAGGAAGTAGCACGTGACACATCAGCACAGAAACATTAATTACTGGAGCAATTCTCCCGAGCACTACAGCTCCTGACAGAGCGACCAGCAACAGCTGACATGGTGGTAATGCACCACGCTGCATGTCTCCCCAGCGGCAGCAACTGTGGGGGTCTGGATGAGAACGGCCCCCACAAGCTCATACATATTTCAATGTATGGTCTCTAGCTGACAGACTGTTTTGAGAAGGGTTAGAAGGTGTGGCCTTGTGGAGAAATGTGGGCACTGAGGTCAAACACCTGTCAGGCCCAGCGTCTCTCCGCTTGCTGTCTCTGAACAAAATGCAAGCTCTCACTGCTGTGCCAGCACCATGCCCGCCACGGTCTCTGCCACGATGCTCATGGACTCGTCCTCTGACACTGTTAGTAAGCCCTGAAATAATGCTTGCTTTAGTGAGTTGCCTTGATCGTAGTCTCCCCACAGCAGTACAGCAGTGACTAAGACAGCATGGATGGACTCTCTGACAAGGTGCAATGGAAACGCAGCCAGAGCGAAAAGCACCAGTCAGGCATGGCGGCGCAGTATGGATTCAGACTTGGGTAGAACTGCACTTGAGGCCAGGCTGGAGAGCTTAGTGGGGAAAGCTCAGTGTACATAAGAAGACTGAAGTTCAAATCCCCAGGACCCACGTAGCACTAGATGTGGTAATCCCAGCAGGCTTATCGTGAAAGCTGGAGACAGAATGTTGAGGAGCTTATGGGCCAGCTAGTCTGGTACATGGGGGCAATGAGGTTCTGCCTCAAGCAAGGTCAAAAGGAGGACTGACCTGGGGTTGTCCTCTGACTTTCACATAGGCGCGCACACACATTCAGGCCAGATTTGGTGGCAAGAACCTTTACCTGCTGAGTCATTAAACTGGCCTCTGTATCTGTTTTCATCTCCGTTTTTCTTCCTTTGAAAAATATACTATTACTGTACATACATGCACATGTGTGAAGGTGAGAACTTAGAAGGCAGGTCAGTGGATCTATATATTGGACTTCAGGGCCAATCTGAGGTTATAATTTCCAAGACAGCCACAGCTGCCTAGAGAAATTCTGTCTCACACCCACCCCACCCCTGCCAAAAAAGTGTGGGCTACCATGTTTATGTGTATGTTTCTGTGTTCACAGAGGTCAAAGGAAGCAGCCACATGGCATCCTCTACTGCTGTCCACATATTCCTTTTGAGGGAGGGCTTTTTACTTCCCTTTGGCTAGTCTGGCGGCCAGCAAGCCCCAGCTATGCTGGTCCTGGGATCAGAACTCGGGTCCTCACACCTGAGCAGCAGTACCTGTAACTGTCTCTCCAGCCCAGTCCCCTTTTTCTTTCTCCCTCTCTCTTGCAAACAAACTTGTTTGGGGGTGGTACTTACTATATTCATGACTAATTTTATTCATTTTTATTTATTGATTTGATTTTTCTTTTTTCTGTTGGTTTTTCAAGACAGGGTTGTTTTGAAGCAACTGGCTCTGGCTGTCCTGAAACTCACTTCACAGACCAGGCTGACCTCAAACTCACAGAGATCCACCTGCCTCTGTCTTCTCAGTGCTGGAATTAAAGGCATGCTCCAGCACTGCCCACCTTTATTTTCCTGAGTCAGGGTCTTGCCATATTATCCAGATTAATCTTGAATTCGTGGTCCTCCTGCCTCAGTCTACAGTAGCTTAGGCTATCAGCATGTACCACCATGCTCAGCCATTTTACTTGAACAGACCCCTGACTAGGAACACTACATCCAATTGTACAGCTGTTCGCTATGCTGCAGACACAGTAGGTATTAAGGGAGCAAAAGGGGTGAACCCCTGCCCACAGCTGCCTGCTGAGCTCTGGCCCTGCTGTGGCCTGTGTCTCTGGGAGAAGACTATCTTTCTAGTTATTTACAAGAGGTACAGTAAGCTGGCTGGAGCTGACCATCCCCTCCAGAACTGTGTGGTGCTGAAGCAGGGAGTGGGGCCGTGTGACAGTTTAAGAAGCGCCCCTCTCTGACCTCCCACACACAAAGGTCTGGGACAAGAGCGTGCTAGAAAAACGTGGACAGCGCAGAGGCCCTGAGGTAAAGCAGTTCACACGCAGCACAACTCTGAATAGTGCGGCTGGAGGGGGAGGAGAGGACAATGGAGGCAGAGCCTTTCACCTGTAGCAGGAGGATGGGATGGAACCAGGCTGCACACACAAGGTGAACCATCATTGGTTCGCACCCAGCCTGACTTCATTTTCAAGCCACACTGATTTGTGATCCCCCGAGAAGCTGCTTGGCCTGGACAACTATCCATAGTGACATTTCACCCGCCTCGCTGGGGCTCATGTAGCCCAGGCTGCCCCCATACTTGCTAGGTAGCCAAGATTGACCTTGAACTTGTGATCCTCTTGCCTCACCCTTCTGAGTGGGAACACAGGAGTACATCAGCTCAGTTCATCTCATTATCTTGGGGCAGGGTCACACCAAGAGGCACAGGCTTGCCTTCAACTCCTGACCCTCTTCTTTAGCTTCCCATGCCCTAGGGACTTCCTGTGTTCTGCAGATTTGTTCTCCTGAGGGGCAATGCAGGTACAAAGGAACCCAGCTGGCTGAACCACATCTTCCTGGGGGTTTCCTGCTCACTGCCATGCACTCCTCTTCTGACCCTGCAGGCTCCATTCCCACCCCACTCGCCTACACTACAGTTGCCTCTGGGTCCTCAGGCATCCTTTAGCCTCCAGTCAGTCACCTCTGCTCTGCTCTGCCAGGAACCCCACTGTCCTTTAGGAACCACAACCCGTGTCACAGCGCCTTCCCTTCAGCCTCTGAGCTGTCTTAGGGCCTTTGCAAGGGCTGCTCCCTCTGCTGTCCAGCACCCTCCCTCATGCCCTTCAGCAGGGAAAGGCATTTTATGTCTTTGTCCACTGTCCGCTGAGGGGAGAGATCTGTGTGTCACCATTGGCACCCTCAGTATGTGGGACAGAACAGCCACACGAAACCATGTTGGATGAGTGAGGGCCCTGTGTGGCTGAGGGAGGAGAGGCAAGATTGGCCATCTCCCAGGAGAGCACAAGCCCCACGCCATGGCCCTCACCCTGTTCTGGGCAGTGCCTGGGCAGGGAGGCACCACTTGTCTTCTCGCTGGAGGCTTGCTTTTGCACATGGGAGAATCAATGGTGCCTAACACCTTTTTATAATGTTCAATGCTCCTGATTGGCTTGTTAGTGGACTGCCTGTTAACTGTTCGGTTTGCTGACTTACTCTGTGTGTATGTAGGCATGTCATATTGTCAGCGTCTGTTGGGACGTGCCTGACTTACTTCTTTACCTCCACCAGGTGTGTCCCGGAGGTCAAAGACAGCTCTTCAGGTTTGGAGGCAAGTGCCTTTACTCACTGAGCCAACCCACCTTCTTTAAGATTGTAGTTTGCATTATTTATATAGGTATGAGCCTGCATGAGGCTATGTGCACCTGAGCGCAGGTGCCTGCAGAGGCAGAAGGCACCAGATCCCCTAGGGATGGAGTTACAAGCAGTGGTAAGCAGCAGAACACAGATGCTGGGAACCCCTCACAGCTGCTGAGCCCTGCCTCCGGCCCTCACTGTGCTCCTTGGGTACGTGCTCACTCATTCCCATGAATATGTAGGTGCGTGTGGAGGTTAGAGGTCAACCTTGGGTATTGGTCTTCAAGTGCCATCACTTGGCTTAAAAAATTTTATTGGGGTTGAAGAGACGGCTCAATGGTTAGAGCACTACCTACTCTTCAAAAAAAAAAAAAAAAACCTGAGTTCGAATTTTAGAACCTACATAGCCTCTAACAACTGCCTCCAACTCAAGTACTAGGGAGGATTTGATATCCTCTTCTGCCCTGTGTGTGCAGACATGCATGAAAACCAAAAAAAAAAAAAAAACAAAAACAAAAACAAATCATACATAAAATAAAAGCTTTTTAAAATTATTAGTTTGAGGCTAGGCAGGCCAACACAGCAAATTCTAGAACAACCAGAACTACATGAGACCCTATCTCAAAGAAAAAGAATTTGTGTGCATGTGTATTGTCACAGTGTGCAGAGGTTGTGGGAGTCAGTTCTCCCTTTCTACACTCAGGTCACAGGCTTGGTGGCAGCCTCTGCACTGTTGAGCCATGTCTCCAGGGTCACCCCTCTTGTACCGGGAATTGAACTCCCAGCCTCAAGTATGCTAAGCAAGTGCTCTACCTCTAAGTTATCCCATATCCTCAGCCCCATTTTGTCTTTCTGAGACAGGGTCTGCGCTCTCCAATTAGACTAGCTGGCTAATGAGCACCACAGGTCTTCCTGTTTTGTCCCCAGTGCTGGGTAACAACGGCAAGCCACCATGCCTAGCATTTCCATGTGGGTTCTGACTGTCAAATTCAGCTGGCGCAGCAAGCTCTTTACCAAGTGCCGTCTCCATGGACTACCTGGCCACTGCATTGTTTTCTTTTGCTTTTCTGAGGAGGATCTCCCTGTGTACTACACAATAGCCTCAAATGAAGATCCTCCTGCCTCATCTCCCATGTCCTTGGGTTAAATAGGCCTGCTCCACACTTGGCTGGTTCGGCTTTACTTGGATGACTTTTTTCTTACTGATTTGTGAGAACTCTTTATATATTCTGGGCACTAGTTTTTTTACTGGTTCCTTCATCTCTCTGTCCATAGTTCTGTATCCCAGTATAGTACAGTCACTCTCTGGCTACTAGACAAGGGTAAACTCTAATGAATTACGTAGACATGTCCTCTATATTATGTCACCACACTCACTGCAGAGAACAGCAGCGGCACCCCCAGTACACTCTCTAGACCACCAGTCCTTGTTCTGTAGACCAGGCAGGCCTCGAACTTGGAGACCTGCCTGCCTATGACTCCTGAATGCTGATATTAAAGGTGTACACATCACTGCCTGGTTTAGGGCAAGTATCTTAACCCCTCTGAGCTCAATCAGAGGAAACCATGTGTGCTCCTGGGGTGGCTCCCGGAGCACTATTAGGGTGTATGTCGTGTTGATGCACTGTCTTTCCTCACTGTCTTGGAACCCCACACCCCGGCCTCCTTTCTGTCTCTGTACATGTTCAAGGCTCTGGTTTAGTCTAGCTTTTGTGTGCCCTCTGGTGAGTGACACAAGGCATTGAGGAAAATGCCACAGACCCCGAACTGTAGTATGGTGGCCCGGATTCAAGCTCCCTTGCCACTCACCAGTGGCACAGACAAAGTCAAGTTGCTCAACTTCATGAGGCCCCAGTTTTCCCATCTGAAAATGTGGCAGAGTTCGTGTGTCTCGGGGTGTGCTGCACGGCACCTGCTCAGTACTCCAGCGACACGTCAGGAAGTGTTAGAAGTGTCACTATTTGCAGTGAGAGACAAAGCTCCAACCTTTCATCTACTAGGAAGGTGCTCTATTGCCGGCCCCTCCCCTCCCCCACCCCTCACTGCTGGATCCTCAGCAGGGGTTGTACTGCTGACCCACACCTCCAGACTGCCCCAGTCTCTATTACTGTTATATTCTTCCTTCCCTGGCCCAGGGGCACCCAAGTGCCTAACTTGGCAAGGCTATTCCAGACAACTCCAGGCAGTAGGCTTGCCCCAGCCCCCACAGGACTCGGGCCTATGACTTAGCTGTTCATCTCCCAACATCCCAGCTGTTGTTTATCTTTGTGTCTCTATTTTTAAAGTTTTTTTTATGCGTATGAGGGCTTTGCTGCATGTCCATCTGTGCACCGCTGGGTGCCGGGTGCCTGCAGAGGTCAGAAGGCTCTACCGTTAGAGATGGTTGTAAACCATGTAGGTGCTGGGAATCGCACTCCCAGCATGCACTCTGTCTCTCCAGCCCGTGTCCCTATTTTAAAATGCAAACCAGGTAGCATCTGTCATCTGTCTCTAACCTCACAAAGGGATCCCACCATATAGGGATCTTGAAAATTAAAAAGCGTGTCCTGTGTACCAGGCACCCCAGACTCCCCCAGACTCACATCTCTAGTCCCGTGCCAGTTATTCTACACTTTGTGAGATCTGTCCCTGCCCAGTGACGCTCTCTGAGAGCACACAGATCTGCAAGGGCTGCCCATGGAAACTTGTGGCCTCTTCCCCTCTAGAGTGCAGAGAAATCTATCCTGCTTTTGGAGGGCAGTTTCCTCCAAGCAAAATATGGAGCCTGGCCCAGTGGCTGCTTAGTCCTTGTAGGTGATGGGGGTGTAGCTCAGAGGTAGAGCACCTGCCTGGCATGTGATGCCTAGGGTTCCCCAAGAGCTGAACTCTAGAATGTCTTATACCTAACTGACTGTGGCCCAAGACCCACCATGACCGTTGCAGAGCTATGAGCACCTCCCACTGTCTGTAGGAGCTGAAGGGAAGTGGGTTGGATGGATTTCCGGAGTCCAGCGCTCTCATCCCAAGAAGGGCCTGAAACTGAGCAAGCCCCACCCGCAGTCACAGAAAAGCTAAGTGGGAGGAACAGGAAGCAGGGATGGGGGTTCCTGGGGCTCAGATAACACCTGGCTTAGGGGACACCACACCTGCTCCCCTGTCGTCCCTCCCTCCTAACCCCCCAGCACAGTACTGCTTTGGGGAGGGCAGGAGGCCTCTGATTCATTCTTGAAAAACCGGATCCTGAAGGTCTCCTCTCTCCAGTGTTTCCGGGGCGGGGGCTGAGGGGCGTGAACGCACCGCTCGCCCGGTCTGGGCCGCCGAAGCCCAGCACCCCAGATACCCGGCCTCTACACTCCCAGGCATTTCCTTCGCAGTAGAGTGGACAGGGTGGGTAGAGAGGGTATGGGATTCAAGGACCCATGGTGTTTGGGCCTTGCCTCTCCAGCTCAAGAGAAGGGACACGAGGGCAACTTGGAAGCTGTCTAGTGACCTGTGGGCGCGGGGAGGGAAGCAAAACCCAGCAGGTATGGCTCTGAAGTGAATATGGGGGTGGCGGTGTGCAGTGAGTCCAGGGGCTGATCAGGGACTATCTCTGGTATTAGTTTCTGGATTCAAAGGCGTGGATCCCTCATCCCCCACCGGCCACTCACTACCTGTGTGACCTTGAGTGAGTCACTCCACCTCTCTGGCCCAGGTGCCTCACTTCTAAAAGAAGTTAAGAGCCCCTCCCAGGAGGCTGTTTTGATTCTGTGCAGTGCACCGAAAGCGTCTGACGAGAAAGCGCTGGGTCCGGGCTAGCAAGTCGGGGGAGGGATCCAAACTATTACTCGGTTGTTATTGTTATACGGGCCTGGTGGTCTCGGTATCCCCGCGGGCCAGCTTCTGGGCAGGGGCCCGGGAGGGGTCTGGACCCACCACCAATAGGGAGCGTCCCGGGTGCAGAGGGCAGGGGTGGACCGGAGGCCCCGGCCAGCGGGGAGGGGGTCCGTCCTTGGGGTCTCGTCGCGGTCAGCCCCACCCTGCCGTCACGGCTCCATGCCCGGGAGGCCGCCGCCGGCCGGGGACACTCACCTGCGCCGCCGCCACCCCGCGCGCCCAGTTCGGTCCTCTGGAAACTCGGCCCGGCTTCTCTCTCGGCCTCCGGTACCTGGGCGGGGTCGGCGTCCCGAGCGGACCAATCAGCGGCGGCATCCCACACTCGCGGCCAATGGGAGCCTCCGGTCGGAACGCTCCGGAGGGATCCCTCCGCCGAACCTCGGCCTCCCCCTCCCGGTGCGCTCAGTGGTCCGATCTTACTTGGTCTAAATGGCGGCGGGCTGAACCATTGCGGAGCTGCGCGGGTGGGCGGACGGGAGACAGGGCGGGAGCTGGCGGTAAGAGTCAGATGACAGGGTTTGGAGGATTGTGCGCGGGCATCCTGGAAAGCGGGCTGTTTGGGAGGTCAGCGAGGGGGCTGAGAGGAGCCCCCAGCCCAGCTTCCCTCCCAGAGAGACTGATTCTACAGAGTGGGCCATAGTGAATGGGGAGGGTCCCGCGTGTCTCTGCTTCTTCCACTCTACACAATAGACAAAGGCAATCGTGCATTCATTCAATCTTTAAGTGCTCCTGCCTGGTACCAGGCTCGGCCTTGGCTCTACAGACACGTGGATGGAGAGAGAACCACAAAGCACTTTGCGAGCAAAGCTGTGTAAGAAGACACTATGGAGCATATTTAAACAGTCGACTTGTCAATTGAGTACCTACTGTGCAGAATCCCTAGATGATGACCAACCAGTGCGGTCCTTTACTCTTCTACTTCCTCCCCACGCCCCCCGAGACAGGACAGCACTAGTTATCCTGGAACTTGCTCTGTTGACCAGGATGGTCCCGAACTCACAGAGCTCCGCCTGCTTCAGCCTCCCGAGTGTTGGGGTTAAAGGCTTTTCGCCATTACTGCCCAGCTAGGAAATTGTGTGTTTTTTTTTTCTTCTAGGTGCTCCAAGGTTGAGCCTCATCAGAGTTCCTCTTCCTCTTGTACTGGGAGTAAAACCATACTCTTGTGCATGCTGGCCAAGTACCCAAGGTGAGACACTGTAGCTGGACTTTCCTTTGGGCCAGGTGCCGGCACACAAAAATGACACAGAAACTTGTTATTGATTATGAAAGCTTGGCCTTAGCTTAGGCTTTTACCCAACCAGCTCTTATAACTTAAATTAACCTGTTTCTGTTGATCTATATTCTGTCACGTGACTCGGTTACCACTCCTCTGTACCATATGTCCAACTTCAGTGTCTGGCTGGTGTCACTTTGCACACTCAATTCTTCCCGGGCCCCCCCCCCCCGGAAGTCCCGTCTATCCTCTCCTGCCTAGCTATTAGGCATTCAGCTCCTTATTAAACAAATCACAGTGATAGATCTTCACATAATGTAAACAAATATTTTGCAATAAACCACAGTCACTGGTGGATTCTAGGCTGACAGTCTACCTGCAAGCCGTGTCTCCTGCACACACACACACACACACAGAGAGAGAGAGAGAGAGAGAGAGAGAGAGAGAGAGAGTTGGCAAACCTGTTTGAACAGCAGACAGGCCAGGTAGACGTCACCTACCGTAAGGTGGACTCAAGTTCAAGAACAAAAGACACAAATGTACCTGGAGAGAGGACAGGTTCAGAACTGGTCACTCTGCTAGTGCTGGGACTGGCCCCAGGGTTCTGTGAGTTTTGAGGGTTGCTAGGGGACCCCAGCAGAGCTTTATTGAATTACTAGGGTTTTGCAGCTCCCAGAGAGAGCTGGGATGGCTTCCAGCCTCAGCAAGGTGTGCAAAAGGGGCAGAATGGAAGGAAAGCTTGGGCTTTCGATCTGGCCCCGCCCAGCTAGCAAACACACTCTGCCATGGCCAGGACAGTGAGGATGAATGCTGTCCCTCCCATCTTGTCCTGTTACCATAGGCCATCCCCACTGAGCAGGCCATTGCCTTGGTTAGGTCAGTGACCTTTAGTTGGGCACAGCCTTGTGTGAGTTTGGCACAGAATCTAGAGAAGGTCAGATGTGGGGCCCAAGCTGCAGAGTGCTGAGCCCCAAGCCACTGTCTCCTGGACTGTTAGGAAAGTGCTCAAAAAAGAGGACTGTGGGATTGCCCAAGGGCACAGGGCAGAGCTGGGCACTGTCCCAATTTTATAGCTCAAGGGGCATGCCTGAAACAGACAGGGAGACCAGGCTGGGGAGTGATGTGGAACCAAACCTCAAGTCTGTCCTCTTTGTAAAATTGAAAGATAGGGGCAGGCAAGATTGCTCATTGGGTAAAGGTGGCTGTTGCCCTGGGACCCACATGGTGGAAGTGGGAGCTGACTCCCGCGAGTTGTCATCTGACGCCCCCCAACACACACAGCATGGTCTATAGAACAAGTTCCAGAGCAGTCTCCAAAGCTACAGAGAAGCCCTGCCTTAAAAAATTAAAAATAAATGAATAGATAAATAAAAGAAAACAAACAAACACCATGACCAAGGCAATGAATAAAACTTTTGATTTCAGCTTACAGTTTTAGAAGGTTTGAGTCCAAACTATCAAAATGAGGACATAGTGGCAGGAACAGCTAGGGGCTCACATCTTCATCTGCACATGCAAGGCAGTGGGAGGGGGGCAGAAGGAGAGAGAGTGTGTGTCTGGGAATGACTTGAGTCTCTGAAACCTCAAAGTCCCCTAATAGCACACCTTCAAAAAGGACACACCCTAACCCTTCCCAAACAGTGGCACCAACTGGGGACCTTTTTTTTTTTTTGCCGTTGTTGCTTTGTTTTTTGAGGTAGAGTTTCTCTCTGTAACAGTCCTTGGTTGTGTCTTGGAACTTGCTTTGTAGACCAGGTATCAAACTCAGAGATCAAACTCAGAAGGCCTCTGCCTTCTGAATGCTGTGATTAAAGGCATGTGACAGTGTGCCTGGAAGTGAGGGGACCAAATATTAAAACTGTGAAACTATGGGGGATCATTTTCATTCAGATTACTATATCCCATTCCCTGGCCCCCATAGGCTTGTGGCCCTATCATAAACAAAATGCATTTAGTCCAGTTCAAAAGTTCCTATAGTCTTTCACAATGTCAACACAGTTTAAAAGTCCGAACAAAGTCTCTTCTGAGACTGAAGGCAATCTCTTAACTGTAACCCTCTGTAAATTCAAAAAGCAAGTCACACACTTCCAACATACAATGGCCCAGAATATACATTACCATTCCAAAGGGAAGGAAAGAGGCACAGTGAGGAAATACTGGACCAAAGCAACAAACTCAAAGTCCTGTAGTTCCAGCAAAGCTATGGTGGCGCATGCCTTTAATCCCAGCATTCGGGAGTCAGAGGCAGGCGAATCTCTGTGAGTTCAAGGCCAGCCTGGTCTACAAGAGCTAGTTCCAGAACAGGCTCCAAAGTTACAGAGAAACCCTGTCTCAAAAAACCAAAAAATAGATAGATAGATAGATAGATAGATAGATAGATAGATAGATAGATAAACCCTGTAGTTCCGTGTCTGATGTCAAACAGTTTAGGTAGATCCATCCTTCCAGCTTGCTGCCTACAACAGTAATTTTAAATCCAGTCAAGTCAACCATGAAGATGGGCGGCACAACTCCATCTTTGTCGAAATGACACCGAATCACAGAACATAAAGTAGCAACAGTCCACTCTTGGCCCCCAAATCTCCTTCATCTCATACTGCAAGACTTATTTAGTAGATCTCTAAAGGACCCTTAAGCCTTTGAAGCCCCAACTCTCCCAAGGCAGTTCGAGGCCTGAAGGCCGTCTCTGTGAACCTGGAGGGGGTCTCCAACTGTGAGCCTGCTGTGGTTTGAATGTGAAAAGTCCCCCATAGGCACATGGGTCCTGGCTGGAGATGCTATCTGGGACGGTTGAGGTGGAACCTGGTGGGAGGAAGCATGGCACGGAGAGCAGGCTCTGAGATCCGGTAGCCTAGTTCCACATCCAGCACCCTCTGCTACAAGACTGCCAGCGCGCTGAGATGGCCAGCAACTCCGGCGGGCACGTCTTCCTCACCATGATGAAGGCCACAATGAACCCTTTCTCTCTCAAGTTGTTTTTGACAGGGTGTTTACCACGGCGACAGAAACTAAGACAGAGCCCCTGTAAAATCAAGTCAATACTTACAGTGTATGATGGCACAGAGTCAACACTGCCATTCCAAACGGGAAGAAAACCAGGCTCAGAGTAAATCAAACCCAAGCAGGGTAAAGGCCAAGGCCTACAGCATTTGGGCTCCAGGGGCTTCTTGGGTAGCCTTGCCTCTCCAGCTCTGCAAGCTCCATCACACACCCTCTTCCGCAGGCTGGCACTGCGCCACACCTAAAGCGTTCCTCGGCAGACTTTGCATAGTCCTGCCATCTCTAATATGTGGACTGTTTGCAGCATCTTAAGCTTCACCTTCCCAGCTTTGCTCAGGGACTGCTCAAGCCTGCCTTGCAGGGAAGCAGTTTCTGCCACGCATTTCCTGACCTCAGTAGCTTTCTGTAACCTTGGTCAATCCTCTGCAGCGTGTAGATAATGCTTCCACATTCCAGTGTCAGCTTTACATGTAGCCTGTCCCTAGCCTGTGGGTAGACCATGATGACCTCAGTAACTGTGACCTTTATTCACCTTCCAGGCTGTCTCTGAGGGAGCACTTCCCTGTGTGGTCATTTGGGAACAGGGAACCCATATGTCTTAGTTACTGTTCTATCACTGAAGAGACACCATGCTTACAAAAGGAAGTATTTACTTGGGGCTGGTTTACAGTTTGGGAGATCTTTACAGTTTTATCATCTTGGCAGAGAGCATGGCATCAGGTATAGCAGGCACAGCAGGCACAGCAGGCACAGCACGCATGGTGCTGGAGATACAGTTGAGCATTACATCCTATCCTGATCTGCAGGTCGAGAAAGAGAGTAGGCCTGCCACGGGGTTTTGAAAGCTCAAAGCCCACCCCCAGTGACATATTTCCTCCAACAAAGCCACACCTCCCTGGTGCCGGAGAATTGTCTGTATTTTGTCAATCATGTTTTAAATAAACGCTGATTGGCCAGGCAGGAGGTGTAGGCGGGAAAACCAGACAGGAAGTGGAAATGATGCAAGGAGAGCAGGAGAATTCTGGGGAGGAGGAAGTTGATTCCTCCCACTCCTGCCCAGATCACCGAAGCAGCAGGATGTGAGCTGCCATACTGAAAAAGGTACTGA